ATCCTAAATCGAACATGGACGAAACTGTTCAGAAACAATTACAGTGGAATGAAAATGGACGCCGTGTTCATGAATTTGATAAGTTATTTATTCGTCATTGGGATGCAGAATGATGCTTTAAGTACGTCTGTAAAAACTAAAGATGTTTTTATCTTCCAGACTACATGAATTTTCATATTTGGACCTTGCAAGAAAATAATCAACAGGCTGTATATCAACTAGATGGCAATCACGTAATGTGACATTTGCAATGCGAAGCGAAACATTTGCATCAGAAGTTTTACTGCATATTTACAATACAGTCGTGCATATAAAGATTGTACTATACTAATGACTCATTCATAATGGCAATCACATATGTAGATGATGAGGTGAATAACACTACATTTGAAATCAGCTATGAAAGTAATATTGCATTATAATGAACATAGCGCCTGTATACTCAGCAATTATCGTTTTGCTCAAAAATTTCAAAGTCCCAAACTTTCAATCGATTTACTTTCGGATGCTCTAGAAAAGAGACAATACATTCACGAAGTCTCAAAAAGAGACATTTCAACATTCATCGACAGTTCTACCTGCTTGTTTTCAATTTTTGAAACAGTACTTGTAGTTGTCGGAAAAATCGCCACAGAAAATGACACTTTTTCTGATCTAGGGATAAAAAGACGCATATGATTGGTATAATGCGGTAATGCTTCTCACCGCATGAAAAATTAACCGTTTTCACTTTTTTTCTACAACGCTTTTGCTTACCAGCTAGTAACATTAAAACAACGCTCTTTTAGAAATCAAGTAACAATTAAAAAAGGTCCTAAATACAAGTATCACAAATTTTGAACTAGAGTAGTACTTATACTTGAATATCTGTCAATAGTGAACGCATGAACGACTAGACATGACAGGAGAACGTACTAAACTTTACTGTACGAAAGATTTAGTCATCTATATCTTTTCTTCTATAACTTGTACACTTTATTATCAGAAATTAATAGAAGGGAATGATGTTTTACTGAGAATTTTGTAAATACTAGTTTCGCTATACGAAAGCGAGTTTCTCAATGTTCTTACGGCAAACAGCAATTGAATTAAAATTAATATATCTTATACTTTTTACATACCAACAATGCATCCCCAGCAATCAACGCTAAATTCATAAATGAAAATCACGGTCTATCCGCCTATCTACTTTCAAATATAGGTATGTCATGCCTGTCTAATAGATAATCAAAATAAAGCTAACTAAAAAAGAAAGTTACATGATATTCAGACACACAACTAGTCTCCTTATTAACTCTAGATTTCGTCAATTAATCAAGGTACAATAAACTCCATTCTGAATTGTAACTATTGGCAGTATTCTGCACTAATCAGTAATATGGTTTGTTCTGTACCAAGAATCAAGCGTTTGGCATTCATTCGTGTGACTTTCATCATGGAATGAATTCTCACACTCATATTTATATCGATGATGACGTGTATTGTCCACTTCTACTTTAGAAAACGTAACACACTATGATCAATCTGAAAGCTGAACTACTACAAAAACGCATGAGACATAGTACTCATTAGTTTGGCTACAATCAGTTTAGCTGAAGAGATTTAGAAATGCATTAAATTCAGAATATGTCTCGTGAAGCCGCCTGTAACCTTGCGATTTGGGATCCTACCACGTCCATTAAACAAATTTTAAATATAATTTCAAATATTATTCTACAATTATAGTATTTTAGAACTCATAGAACCTTAGATGATTAAACGAAGTTGTACATTGATCCATGGTATTATAAATTACATATGGATGCTTATATATAAGCTTTGTATGCATTCCTTCTATGTACATAAAATTTTTTCGTGAGTGAAAATGCTCGCTTTCGGATGATAAGACTGTATTTTACTTGCTTCATGAATCGAAAATCGACAATTTATCGAACCCCTGTTAAAAAGAAAAAGCCACGCAAGAGAAGTTGAGACTAGTAGAAGAATAAAACATATACTGAGCCTACCCGTCTCAATATGGACACACTTAAAGTATTATCCCTGAATACATGACAGGTGTACGAAACCATCCATTTCTAATGAGTATCAAAAAAGGCGAAGACGGAAAATACAAAACGACGTCAAAACCGATTGATGTCATGTTCGATCTCGATAGTGATTCTCCCACGCGGCCATTTGGCGATATAAAACAATGGTCATTTAGTGCACAGAATAGGGACCAATCTTTAAGGATTGTGGACAGTATGCAAACTATTTCACCCTTACCTCTCTCTCTGGTTTTGTCCATTCTCATACGATCACAAAAACTGTTTTTCTTCAGTCACACTCAGTAGACAGACAAATGGGCGATTCTTTGAATTTCACGTTGATAAAAATAAAAAACTTTTTAACGTTATTTAAAAGTTCTGGCTCATCGAGCCTTGTTCTCAGTCTCAATTTTCCCATAACTTTTCACACACCCGTTTAATACTACCACTATTCAATATTTTCAAGAAGAAATCCTATTTAACGTAAGAAATTTAGTTTTATCCACTATTTTCTGCTACCCGGATTACAAGTCAAAGCCTAATGTTGGAGACAAAATACACTCAGGAATGTCAGAGTTACGACACAGACTTTAACTTTACATTTTTCTTTTGCAACTAGTCTGCAAAGAAATCGAGCTGTTTTTCATAGTGTTTTTAGCGTTCACAGCACATTCTCCTGGCTGAAATCAGTCGGAACTCCTACAATTTACAAGCTGAGTGGTTTTTATGCCTTGGCTTTGTAATTGATGTAGTGAAAAAGTACTAGCTTCTGAAAGCTCCTCAGTTCGCAATGTGTTAACACGAGAGCGTTCATACATACAGCTACTCGACGCTCAATGTAGAATTAGATTGATATTTATTAAATTAAAAGTTAGAGAGATGTTGGTTGAAGAAAGCCAGTCAGTGGACTGACTAACACAACATATGATTTTCTTAACTAGCAGATGGAGGCGATTACTAGATTCGAGGTATCGCGCGACGAGCTGAGATTTTCAGTAATTATATACTTGAACCGAGACTTTTATTTTTCTTCTTTACTCTCTTAAAGAACCATTTTGAGACGCTGTCTTGAAAGACGACACATAGAGTCTCTTTGGACGCCATTATGGCGATCAATCATAAAAAAATGCCACTCCCAAAAGTTAAGAAAACAAGCCATTATTCGTGCACGTCTCACCATAGGAAACCAATTTGCATAAAAATATTTTGAACCTCGACGTCATATTTTGATTACAATAACCTTCTGCTATTATAAAACGCTTATTATAAGAATAGCAGCTCTCCACACCTATTTTGAGAAAATAACCAACTGGTGTTGACTAGCTAAAAATCTCTGAAGGAAGTGATTTTATTTCACTCAGTCCACTGACTAAACGATAGTGGAAGGTTTCTTAATCGGATGTCATATGAGTATTGCTCCATACAAAATTTGCATTTACTCGTCAACATGACGAAACCAGCAGTGTCGCATGGGAAACTAACTTAGACATTTACACTGTCGACTTAACTTTAACAGCTGAATCATTTACAGTTTCAAACACTTCCAAATGCATCACTTGTGATAATAAGGCAACTGACATGGAACCATCCTTTTCCCCTGAAGACGATAACGTTCTAATTTATCGAGCCACATCTGTGCCCGGTTATGAATCAGATAAAGTACAGTTGAAACTATATAGTAATGGCACAATATCAACATTGTTACCGGACTGGAGCTTGAGTATTGGAACCGTTACATGGTCAAATGATGGACAATCTGTTTATATGGAAGTCGGGGAAAAAGCTCGCAATGTTATCTACTACTATCAGAATATTTCGTACACTCAACCACCTGCACTGCGCAACCTGACAAAATTAGGAAGCGCTCATGAAGTGTGTGTTCATCCAGAATTGCCGGATATTTTCATCTTCACCTGGTCATCCATCATTCATCCCACGGAAATATACATTTATAGAAATTCGGCATCAGTACCATTAAGCTTTTATAATTCGGATCTCTTGCAAAAAGTTCACTTAGGTACATATAACGAATTTTCTTTTGAATCAAATAATGATACTGTTTATGGATGGCATGTACAGCCGACAACTGCTCTTGCGAGAAACGTTCCTGCGGCTTCACCGTTGGCCTTTCTCATTCATGGTGGTCCTCAAAGTTCATGGTACGATGCATGGAGTTTTCGATGGAATTTTCAATCTTTTGCCGGAGCAGGATACGCTGTGATCGCTATCAATTTTCATGGTTCAGATTCATATGGACAAAATTTTACAGATTCTATTACCCATAATTATGGTTCACTGCCATACGAGGATCTAAGAGACGGTTTAACAGCAGCATTAGATCAATTTTCTTATATTGACGGAAGTCGTGCAATTGCTTTAGGAGCAAGTTATGGTGGGTACATGATCAATTGGATAGCCGGACAAACGGAAATGAACAAACGCTTCTTAGGTCTCGTATGCCATGATGGAATGAGTGATATGCGGTCATTCTACTATGCAACGGAAGAATTATGGTTTCCTGAACACGATATTGGTGGAAAAGAGTGGGAAAATCCAGATGCTTACGATAAATTCAATCCTATTAAATATGTTAAAAATTGGGTTACACCCATGTTGATCATTCAAGGTGGTAAAGATTATCGAGTTACAGACACACAGTCGATCAGTGTGTTCACTGCTCTACAACGAAAAGGTATCCAAAGTAAAATGATATACTTTCCTCAGGAAAATCATTGGACTCTAAAGGCTGTGAATTCAGCTTTTTGGTATGAAACAGTTATAAGTTGGATGAATTCGTTTACAAAGAAATGAAAGTTCTTGAAACTGTTTGCGTGCTAAAATAAATTTGTTTTTGTTTTTGTTAAGAATAAATGAAACTCTAAGTTACAGCGGGTACAGAAAGTAAAAATTTGAATAGGACAACATTTGATTCAAAAGAACAATGTACAATCGCACTCATTACAGAATTTAAAGAAGCTTATCGCATCTTGTTCCATCTTACGCATCTATTACGGGCGCATTGATGACACGTCGCATTTCATCCACGGTATAAATTCTTTCCAAGGGGGAAAAACCTCACTTTAAGTGCCTTTAAGTGTGTGCACCTTCGAGTTAAGTGACACTTAAGTGATTAAGTGTCATATCAAATTCCGCAACTTCCTGGAAAATCAAGAATTCATCCTTATATGTTTCAAAATATAAAATATATGAACTGCCGCTGTTCCGCGTCATACGAATCTGTTTGTTTTCATCATTTTAATGAACACAGTTAGAATGCATCTATAAATGTGAGTACAAAATCAAAAATGTACACGAGAAAACTGTGAACAGTATTTACAAAAAACTGCTGTCTGTTTACTGTTGTTATTTTACTATGTATAGATGGGCGATAGATTTTTCACACTCTTTCTCTTTCTCTATTACTAATCGTTCCTTCAGTTATGGATGCTATTCACTCGAAGTAACGTCTCTATCTTATTCTTTGGTCTGTTTTCTCTCTTTTCTATTTATACATAATTCTGATAATTTTACTTGACAAGAATAAAATAGTTCATAATTATTGCTATTATTGTTTATGAAGTTAATACTTTAGTTGAGAGATTTTCTGAACTTTTTTCTTTCGTATTTATTAAATATATATTAACTAACTGTGTATATAGTTCAGTACTCTCGGTTGTAAACGATAACTGCTGCTGATTAAAAATCTCGGTTGAAAGCTTCAATATTTTTAAATAGAAAAAATTAATCACAGTTATTTCTATAGAATTGCTTTTATTATCTTTACTAAATAATATGCATCATTCATCTCACTTTCTAGACTGAAATATAAACACGATAGATCATACTTTTGTCATACATCTTGTGCTAAACTGTTTATGCAAGCTTTTATAAAAATGTCATAACTCTGTATTATAAAAGTCGATACTATTGGTAGAAAAAGATTTGAGAAAAAGTTCTCTCAATGAACCTAAGCACACTTTCGCTACACCTAAGACACTTTCATATAATTCTAATTCTTATTTGTATAAATGAGCAATTAACTTTATAGTCGCATTCAGTTAGAAATATGCTTGATAACTGGGAAAAAGTAAAATTATCGTCATACTATTACTTTTTTAATCTACATGCAGCCCTGTCTACCACTTCTGTCTTGTGATTTCTGTGATGTATATTTTTAAAATATAATAACTTTATAAATTTCTACGGATACTAAAAGTTGCATTTGACATATAAACATGTGAACAGATGTGATATTGTATTATTACACTTTCAAACATCTCTTCAGGAATGTTGTGAAAATTATTATCACTTCAGCTGACACTTTACAGTTTAATACATTTTTTTCTTACAAAAAACATAAGAAGAAAGTTCTCTTATGAGGTACATATTTTATTCATTTGGTAATAATATAATTTATTAGCATTTTGATCAATGAAATAAATATCATAATTTGGTGTCACTACTAGATCATACAAAGATGTTGACTCCGTCCAGGTACCTAGTAGCAATCCTGTTGAATCATATATTTTCAATCCATATGAAGTAATTGGAATCCATATTCTTCCACAGTTATCAATTACAACTGACATCGGATACTGACTACCCGTCGTTGCTACAAACGTGGTATATGTTCCATTTACTATAGATAGTTTGTAAACTGATCCGGTCACTTTCGTATTCGCTATTAACAAATATTCATCATTCATTTTAGCTAAACCGTAAGCATTTGTTATTGGCATAGAGATTGTTCGATATAATGTAAAATTGGAAGATGATGTCCACTTATAAAAGAGAATTGTTGAATTTGGAACATTTTGTGTTTCTATACATAATATAGTATTATTTTCCAAGAATGTACCACGCTGTGGACCACCATAGGGATTTGTTCTTGAAACTATTTGAGTTAAATTTGTTGAAGAATACATGTAAAGTGTATAAGGTGACACAATTGGATATATACCAACAAAAAAATATCCATTTGAATAGCTCAAAGGATATGCATTGTAGGGTACGTTAACAGTTGAAATGGTTGTCAAATTTGCATACATCAAACGTAAATAAATGCCATTATAAATAAGAGCTAATTGATTTTGATCGTTCATAGCTAATGCGTTTGGTACATTTACACTAAGTATTGTTGGTACAGTACTTTTAATCTCATTTAATAACCATGTAAAGTTAGAACAACATGGAACAACAGTACTATCTGGCAATGGTTTTAATAAGTATAACGTTGAACTGCGATTAATAACTATATTTAAAGGTAATGTCATGTTAACAAAGAATTGACAAGAATCATTCGATAAAAATACATTCAATGCCGAATAATTTCCTGTGATTCCATAACAGATACATTGATTAAGAAGAGTATTATGATTGAACGATTTTGTTGTATATATTGAACTGATCAAACTTGCTTCAGCTATATGACCAATACTTACTGATGAACTTCCACTCACAAATATTAACGCTAGAAAAACACACTTAACGTACATTTTTTACTTACATAGATTTAAAGAACGATGTACATAAGAAAACTAAGTTATTTAAAATAGTTCACTTCTTGGTAAAATTACCCACGTTCTTCGAAATTCAATTAAAAATGTGTGATATGAGAATATATTAATTTTTATTTAAACAATGTAAGTCATAATTACGCTTTACATATATTCTTCAACAAGTTTAACTCAAATAGTTTCAAGTACAAATATCTACGGTGGTCCACAGCGTGGTACATTCTTGGAAAATAATACTATATTATGTATAGAAACACAAAATGTTCCAAATTCAACAATTCTCTTT